TTATTATATAAAATTATTTATTCAAATTTTATTTAAAATTAAATTAAATTAACTAAATTTAACTAAAAAATATAAATTATTGGAATTGGGTTATTGATTAATTTATTTTGTACACTCAGGCAATCTCCCTCCCTCGTAACACCAAAAATTTGTTTCTTATTTTTAAAAGATATAAAAAAGTCCAAGATGTCTAAACACAATAACACAATATGTGCCTAGATATAGGTGGGATGTAAATAGGGAATATAAATTTCATATAAACCTTATTTATTACATAAGTGTGATTAGATATTTTGATATTTTAATGATATAAAATAATAATTTTTATTTATTAATTTTTTTCTTCTTAAAAAAAAAAACTATCAAAACTTTTGTCCAACCCTTAGTAATTTAATGATCACCCTTTGAACGTGTGTGGTAGACATAATGATTTAAATTCAAATTTCAAATATACTCCCATTTTCCTACAAATTTTCCTGTTTAAAAAAAAAAAGTATTAAAACTTTTGAACTGACAATTGTTGGGATATGGGGACCAACGAGGAGAAAATCGAACCCAACGCGGCAGCACTGGCTGAGAAAAGATGCCTCAACCAATTGGCTTAAGAAGCTTGATGTACATTAATATTCAATAAATCGATCAATTTGTCTCTAATTTGTTCTTACATGTGTGCGAGTCTTGTAAGTTTAAGTAAAGGAGTTAACGGTTTGAGAAGATGCCTCAACCAATTGGCTTAAGAAGCTTGATGGACATTAACATTTAATAAATAAATTTGTCTCTAATTAGTTCCTGCGTATGAGAGCCTTCGAGGCGTAAGTAAAGGAGTTCACGATTTAAGAAGATGCCTCAACCAATTGGCTTAAGAAGCTTGATGGACATTCACATTTAATACATAAATTTGTCAATATATATATATATATTTTTTGATAAGGACAATGGTTAAAAATTAATAAGGTTAGAATTGTTAATAGAGGTATTGAACCTGAATAATAGTGCAATCCATTGGCTATCCTTTTGGGCAACAGCGATTATAGCCACAGTGAAAAAATGCAGGAAGGGATTGAGATTGAATCTCACACCCAAGATAAGATGCACTTTAACCAATAATTAAGTAGCCATTTGGACCACATGAGCTTCTTAAATTTGTCAATAATTAGTTCTTACTTGTTGGAGCTTTAAAAGCGTAAGTACATCGACAAATGATTTAAATAATTTAATAATACATTAATGAAATAAATGATAAATAAAAAATAATTATTTTTTATTATACAATTCAAAATTTTAAAAAAAATCTACCTCATATTTTGTTTTGTGTTTTGAATTTTTTATGAATTTTTTTTAAAACAAATTTTTTGAACTGAATTTTTTTTTTCAAAATAATTAATGTATAGCGTAATTACACTTTTCAAAGACACCAATCAGAGAGCTCACCAGGCTGGGACGCAGCTACTGCTGGCTGCCCCCTGAACTATTGAAAAATTGGAAATATGGTTCCCTAAATTTTATTAATTAAGTTTTAATTTTAGAGTTTGAATTATAAGAAATATTTCAAATACGGAAAAAAACATTTACTAAAGAGTTTTCAAAAGATAAAAATTATGAACTTTATGCAAATTTAATTAATTAGGAATCAAAGTTATTAAGAATCTCTTTCTCATTCTATTCAAATATTTATTTCACTTAAAGCAAAATACAAACTTTAATCCCTTGATATTTCTTTTTTTTTTTATTTAATTAGTGTTATATCTAATAAGCTGGCAATTTCTTTGGTATCGTGTTATGCTTTATCTTACGTTCCACAATTAAATATTTAATTTTGTTTTTTGTGCTAAGTCAATCTAAACTAGATATCGCACTTGACTCGTGTGGCTCTGAAAAGTGCATATTCCTTTTCCTGGGTGGGTTTCGAACCCGTCCCATGACAAAACTGTTCAAAAAAAAAAATCTAAACTAGATATCAATTTTTAAAGAAGGTATTTTAGTATTTTTATTTTTTTAATCGCCAATTAATCATTGCATGAGGCGTCCACGTGTTGTTTATGTTTCATTTTTCTTAATTTAATAAAAAGATTCATCTTTTTAAAAATTATTAAAATGCAATACTATAATATTTAAGTTCTCTTGTTTAGATAAAAATGTATACATTTTTTGTTTTTTGAAGAATATATTAAATTTTCACCTTAAAAAAAAGAGAAATATTAAATGGAAAGACAGTTAGAGTTGAATTTTCCTTTTTCAAAAAGAAAAAAGAGACAAAATTACGAAAATGAATCGTTGCCTCATAATTGAGATGTAAATACTCGTTAAGAAGTTCTCTCCCCCCACAACAAATCAAAAAAAAAAAAAAAGAAGTTCTCACCCCCACAATTAATGTAATTTCCTAGCTCTGTCCCTGTCCCTACGGTAGCTTAGTTGGTACTCAACCACTAGTTGTCATGCCTACTTGTAGTTGCAGGTCCAGGTACTACATCTACGGAGATTCCCAAGCTAACAGGAGCCAACCACAGATATAAACTAGGTTAGTTCTGCATTTATTAGACAATGATTTTTTTTTTTTTCGAATTTTGAGTTGCCCCATTATGGCATGTAAAACGCATGAGTACTTGCCTTGTTCTTTCGTAAAATACAAATTGAAGCAATGTTGGAGGAAAAACAACGACAAAGTTTGCCAACCGGGTTGTGGCCTAATTGGTTGACCCCCAAATTTTAGGGTTTGGGTGAGGTGAAGGTCAAAGTTTTGAGTTTTGCCATCGTCGTGAACTCCACCAACTTGCGACTTATTGGTCACGCGCCTCAAATGAGGGGGTGGAACGTTCACTTTCCTGAAAAAATTTCAGCTGCTAACAAACTAACTCTACTAATTTCTTAACCATCTACTTGGTAAAAAAAATTAAAAAAAAAAAACAACGACAAAATTTGGATCTTTGAATAGAGCCGTGATTGGTCAAAAAAAAATTGGCTGACAGAGTGTCAGCCCTCTTTTTTTTGAAAAAAAAAAAAAAGTAGAACCCGAATTCCATTCTTTAATTTAAATAAAAATATTTTTTTATAACAATACGAATAAGTGAACTATTAAGTCACAAGAACTTTTTCACAGAGCAGTAGCCATTGTGTCAATTGTTTGTATCACCTTTAATTTTCCTTCCTTTCTTTCTTTTTATTTATTTATTTATTTTAATTTTTAACTTTTTTTAAAATAACAATAATGATGAAACTTTTAAAAAAGTTTTGTTTTATTGTATATATTGAAGAGATACATTAAAATGTGAGTATTTGATTAAATATTTTATTTGAGAATTAATTATATGAAAAATAAATTTATATAAAATATATTAAATATAATAACATATTATCAAAGTAAAATTTTATATTATTTTTTATTATACATCTGTCAAGGAAGTCTCTTTTTAACCAATCTTATAAAGTTTATATCTCTCTTCCTTAAGGTAACGGTTTGAATCGACCCATGACTAAATATTCAAAAAAAAAAAAAGAAATCTTTTTTATTCCTTTACGTTTTAAATTTGGGAATCTTTTATTTTTACCCAAAAAATATTAATATTAGGCCGCTTTGGTCGCCATGGAGAAACATAATTAATTAATTCAATGTATATAGTTAGGAATTCATGTAATATAATTTAAATTATATATTAAAAATATAATTTATTCTATAAATTTATTAAAATATTTGTATTAAAATTATTTAAAAATAATTTTATTAAAAATATTTTAATAAATTTATAAAATAAATTACACTTTTAATATATAATTTATCTTATAAAATATTTTTTATATAATTGTCTACGCAAAAACAATGTTGACACCCTCTTTATTAGTACCATGTGTTATAAAAGTGTTTTAAAGTAAGTTTTTGCAGAAGTTTGGAATCATGAATTCATTAAAAAAATCATCTTATTATTATTATTTTTTTTTTTTAAGCTATGAGATCCAAAAGTTTAATCTGAAAAGCTTTATTTTATGGTGGAAAAAATACAAAAATTATCTCTCATAAATGAATACATGTTACTTAAAAAGTTATTACTTAGTTGGGATGTGAGCTTGATTCTTTCTATTTTAATTAAAGTTTTATTATTTAGAAAGGCCAAATAAAATAGTAATTACTAATAATGAATTTTTTCCGTTTCGATGTAGAAGACGTGTCCTTCATCAGATCAATAGAGTTTAAATATGCTTAAATTAACTTAAAAACACCTTATAGATAATTAAAGAAGTAAATTAATACATATTTATACTTTTTTAGGTTTTAAAAAGAAGCTTTTTTTAAAAAGAGTTTGTCTAACCTATATTTTTAGGACATGGATCAATAATATAATAAATATATTTTTT